GGCCACGGGCGACGGACGATCGACCCGACGCCGGGGGGGCCCGCGGGGCACGGGGAGCCACGGGCTCGCACTCTCCCCCGAGCCGCAGGCCTGCCCTCCCTCCCACGGCAGCAGAGCAAACTGCGCAGGTCCTACTCTCGGGGGCGCGCAAGCATGGACTAGCGATCCTTGGATCTGGCGCGCGGTCGCCAAATCCATGGATCGGGGGAGGTGCCCTCCCCAAGGTGCGGTTTGGGCCGCCTCGCTCGGCGGCTGGAACCCACGCCCCCTTGATGCATGTCGGTGACAAGCGTGGGGGAGTCCTCCTCCAACGGGGGTCAAGCTAGCCGTGCGTTAAAGCGCACTCGACGAGCCGTGCTTGCTCGCGACGGGGATCGGTTTAGGGCTGTCGACGGAGCGGCGCACCCCCCCTCAGGCGCTCGTTCGGGAGGTGCCCTGCTGATGAGGCCTGGACTGCGCGCAGACGGCCCCCCAGGCAGTCCCAGCTGGCCTCAGCAGGACCCCCGAGCGGTCCCAGCTGGCCTCAACAGGCCCCCCGAGTAGTCTTAAGTCGGGCGTGTCCCCCTACAGGGGGATTTCGGGCGAAACATATATATATATATATATATATAACAACAAAAATGGCGAAGGACCCAACCAGATGCAATTGTGAATAACGTTTTGTGGGTGCCGCTTTCGGTGGGGCTCCCTATGGGGCCACGAAAGGCGTGCCACGAAACGCTGTCCTGGGCGTACGGGACGCATGCGGGCGGTAGCGCTGGGGCCTTTGGTGAAGCTCCCTATGGAGCCACGGAACGCTGTCCTGGGCGTACGGGACGCATGCGGGCGGTAGCACTGGTGCCTTCGATGGAGCTCCCTATGAGGCCACGAAACGCTGTCCTGGGCCCTCGGCGACGAAACGTGTGAGGGGTGTTCCGAAATGGGTGCGGTGCCGCCATGCGAACGCAGCCACTGGGGCTCTCGGTGGAGCTCCCTATGGGGCCACGAAACGTGTGAGGGGTGTGCCGAAATGGTGCCGCCATGTCAACGCAGCCACTGGGGCCCTCTGTGGAGCTCCCTACGGGGCCACGAAACGTGTGAGGGGTGTGCCGAAATGGGTGCGGTGCTGCCATGCCAACGCAGCCACTGGGGCCCTCGGTGGAGCTCCGTATGGAGCCACGAAACGTGTGAGGGATATGCCGACATGGGTGCGGTGCCGCCATGCCAACGCAGCCACTGGGGCCCTCGGTGGAGCTCCCTATGGGGCCACGAAACGTGTGAGGGGTGTGCCGAAACGGGCGCGGTGCCGCCATGCCAACGCAGCCACTGGGGCCCTCGGTGGAGCTCCCTATGGGGCCACGAAACGTGTGAGGGGTGTGCCGAAATGGGCGCGGTGCCGCCATGCCAACGCAGCCACTGGGGCCCTCGGTGGAGCTCCCTATGGGGCCACGGTGCCGCCATGCCAACGCAGCCACTGGGGCCCTCGGTGGAGCTCCCTATGGGGCCACGAAACGTGTGAGGGGTGTGCCGAATGGGCGCGGTGCCGCCATGCCAACGCAGCCACTGGGGCCCTCGGTGGAGCTCTATGGGCCACGAAACGTGTGAGGGGTGTGCCGACATGGGTGCGGTGCCGCCATGCCAACGCAGCCACTGGGGCCCTCGGTGGAGCTCCCTATGGGGCCACGAAACGTGTGAGGGGTGTGCCGAAATGGGCGCGGTGCCGCCATGCCAACGCAGCCACTGGGGCCCTCGGTGGAGCTCCCTATGGGGCCACGAAACGTGTGAGGGGTGTGCCGAAATGGGTGCGGTGCCGCCATGCCAACGCAGCCACTGGGGCCCTCGGTGGAGCTCCCTATGGGGCCACGAAACGTGTGAGGGGTGTGCTGTGATAGTGGGAGGAGGGAGGGGGCAGAGGGAGGAAGGAAGGAGTGAACGCGGGGCGCTGTCTCTTCAAAACGAAGACCCAACACCACAGGATGGTTGGGAAAAAAATCGCGATGGTCTTGTCCTTCTACGCACTCGAAAACTCTCAACGAATTTCCCCCCACTCCCGCGCTTTCCACCCCATTCAACGAACTGCGCCACTGAGACCTCATGTGGAGCTTCCTACTGTGCCAGGAAACGTGTGAGGGGTGACGCAAAATCGGGCAGCGCCGCCATGCGAACTGCGCCACTGGGACTTTCGGTGGAGCTCCCTATGGGGCCACGAAACGTGTGAGGAGTGTGCCGACATGGGTGCGGTGCCGCCATGCCAACGCAGCCACTGGGGCCCTCGGTGGAGCTCCCTATGGGGCCACGAAACGTGTGAGGGGTATGCCGACATGGGTGCGGTGCCGCCATGCCAACGCAGCCACTGGGGCCCTCGGTGGAGCTCCCTATGGGGCCACGAAACGTGTGAGGGGTGTGCTGTGATAGTGGGAGGAGGGAGGGGGCAGAGGGAGGAAGGAAGGAAGGAAGGAGGGAGAGGAGACGCGGGGCACCGTCTCTTCAAAACGAGGACCCAACACCACAGGATGGTTGGGAAAAATACCCCCCGAATGGGCAAACATCATCAAAAAAACGTCCCTGGAGTATGTTTTGACTGCTTGGGAACATTGCTCCTGGAGAGGGACAGGCCCGACCTACGAGCAGTCTGGGGCGCTCTCAGCACCTCAACCCCCCGGGGGGCGCGGAGCGCCCCCGGGGCGCCGCTGCAGGCGGCGCCAGGGAGCTCCGACCGCCCCGGACTGCTCGGGGAGCCTGCCGAGGCCGGCTGGGACCGCTCGGGGGGGGCCTGCGAAGGCCCGCGCGGCACCACCCGGAGGGGGGGGGGGGGGGCTGTGCGCCGCCCGGGCCTTCCCGGCACCCACCGACCAGCCATAGCTGGGGGAGCTGTGGTCCTCACCCCCCTGGGGGAACCCATCGCATCGACGATCTCTCGAGAGGGGTGTCGAAATCGATGGGTCCCCCAGGGTGGTAAGGACCACAGCTCCCCCAGTTGTGGCTGGCCTGACCCAGTTGCGGCTCTTGGTTTCGGGGGCCAAGGCCGCTTGAATCGGGAGTCCCGCAGCGGTGCGGTGACAGGCCGTGCGGTGGCCTCGAAAAAATCCCCCCAAGGCCTCACCGCACGGTCCGTGCTTGGGACCTCGGAGAGGCCCCTGTCGCCCGAGACGTCCTCGGAGAACGACCCGAGAGTCCCACAACCGTGCCGTGACCCCGAATCCCCACCGACTCACCGCACGGTGTGGTCACTGCACCGTTCGGGGGCCCCCGATTGAAGCACCGGCCACCGGGACCAGGGCGCCGCGAGCCCGCCCGGGGAGGGCCCACGGGAGAGGGGGGATCTGCCGCGCGGCCCGTCGGAGCCGAGGCCCGCGCGGAGCCACACGCAAGGGAGGCTCGAGAGCGCGGTCGAGCCGAAACGAAGAAAAAGACCGGGAGGGCGCCGACTGTCCACCGTGCCTCGGAGCACGAAGTGGAGCGCTCCCCAGACACCCCCCCACAGAGGTCCGACGCTCCGAAAAAATTGGAGCAGCGGGGCTCTGGCCGTTTTCGGCCTCTCCGTGGGCCCTCGCCGGGCCTCGGGAGCGTCAAAAACAACTTAGGAAGAAAAGCTGGTCCTGGGGAAGTGCTCCGGACCTCCGGGGTCCACGCACCAAAAAAATTGGAGCAGCCGGATGTCTGGGCCCAAGGCCTCTGACCCACAACCAAGTATCCGCCACCGTGCCTCGAGGAGCGAAGGGGAGCGTTCCCCAGGCACCCCGAGGCCTCCCAAGAGATCCCCGGAGTCGTCCCAGAGGCCTCTGACCTACAACCCAGGCACGGTGGCGGGATGGGCCGAAGGCTTTCGGATAGATCTGCCCTGATCCCTGGCCCTGCATGGGCCTGGCCACGGGCTTACATAGGTGTATACTCGGTGGCTCTCGAGGGACCAATCGGAACCTAATCGACTTGGATCAGAGCGCGCTCAGTCGAGCCGCGTGGCCGAGCCGAACCGGACTGGACCGCCGAGCCAGGGGGGGGAGAGCTTGACAGCGCCGGGCCGAGGTTCCGCCCAGAGACTGACGAGGCCGAGCCAAATTAAACATTCCTGCAGATAATTATCAAGTCTGTGCGAGTGCTCTGTACATATACATCAGGGAGGTCCACAAAGCGGCAGTCGGGAACAGCGCCTTCCTGGCGTCCCAGCAGCACGGCGCGGCCCACTGCGGGTGGCTCGCAAATAGAGGCGACGCCACCCGTTGGCCTGCCAGGGGCGCGTCAGCGGCTCAGCCCGCTTGGAGGCCTGGCGGCGGCGGAGACGTTGCGAGCCGCGCCAGCGGGAAGGGACCCGCTCGAGCCCACTCCGACGCGGGCGCGGGCGGAGATGGGGCGGAGGCGCTTCGGCGCGGCCCCCGCCTCCTTGTCGGGCCCGCTGGTCCCCTTCTCCGACCAGTTCCTCTCGGATGAGACGGGCAGGTCCGTCGATGCCGTGCCGCTCAGCCCCGCGTCCTTGAGCGGCAGCGCGCTCCGCGCATGCCGCGCCGAGCCTGGCCGGACGTTCTTCTGGGGCGTCGGGGAGGCGCTCCGGTCACGGCCCTTCCACGGCCACACCTTCACCTCGATCGCCTCCAGGGCCGACTGCACGGCGCGCAGGCTCGTCTCCTGGTCCTGCTGGAGCACGCCGAACTCCTGGAACATCTGGGCCAGCTCGTCCACGGCCTGCTGGATGATCTTCAGGCGGCTCGCGGAGTGGTTTTCCAGGCCCCCGATCCTCTGGTCAGCGGCGCTCCGGACGCTGCCTATGCTCTCGCTGAGGGCCTTGTGCTCCTGCAGCTGCGCCGCCTCGACTTCTACGACCTTCTTCTCGAGCTTGCCCAAGCGAGCGCCCTCGTCGAGCCGGATTGACTCCAGTACTTCCTTCGCATCCACCTTGGACTGCTGCTCCAGCTGCTTGCCCCTCAGCTCGAGCAGCTCGCCAACCTTGCTTATCTCCACTGCGTTCTTTGCCCCAGCTTTGCTGCATTCGGCGACCACACCCTCAGTGGCAGAGATCTTCTTGCTCATGACCTCCACCTCGCTCGCCAAGACCTTGTCCAGCGCAGCCTTGGCCTTGTCGAACGACTCCTGGATATGCTTCTGCAGCTCGCCCTGCCTCTTGTCCAGGTCCTCGGCCCTGGCTTCCAGCTGCCCCCCCTTTGCTGACAGCTCGCTGGTGAGCTTTGCCTTCGTGTCCTCAAAATCAACTAGACCCTGGAGGGTCGCAAGACGCGTGCTGGCTAATCGGCCGATGTTGACGTTTTCCCCGTGCATGCACCCGAGGCGAACTCGCTCCTACTCGAGCCGACGACAACCCAGACCCGCTCGCGGGGAAGCTCCACGGGCAACGTCGAACCCTGCATAGCCTCTCACCTCATGTTCGCCCAAGCCTGAATCTGCAAAATCTCTCTGATCTCCAGAGATACGCCCCCAAAGGCCGTCTCTAGCGTGCCGTAAGAAGCTCTGTGGTGAGGAGTAAGAAAAAACCTGTCGCCACTGGTCGAAAGTAGGCTCACCGTCGTCGAACCCTGGGAAGGACTTGTTCTCTGGTGAGGGAACCTCACGAAACCCTGCTCTTGCCAACAAAACCATAGCACTCGAAGTCTTGCGCTGTCTTCACACTGCATGCGTTCTCGAACATCGAACGCTCGTGATATCAGTGGCGGGACAAGCAAAATCCAAGACAATCCTTCCGGTTCTCTGAGCGTAGTCGGCTTCACGCACCAGCTCTTCCAACCCAACTATTCGCTCCCGTCCAGAAAACGGTTTACCTTCCCTCCCGAAAATCTGGATCGGTGCGGGGGGTGGGCGCAAAGGGTCAGAGCGTCCAAAATGGCCCACGATGGAATCGAGACGGATCCCAATTGCCCGATAACCGCGATGGCATAAGTAGATACAAGATGGCCCCGAGCATGGCCCAGAAAGGCTTCCAAGGGCAAGATGGGTCGAGGTGTCCCCAGAGCCTCTCACACAAGTCGAGGGCACCATCTTTGCAATGCAAAACAAAGCAATGTCTAACAATGCCTAGCAACGCAAAGCGATGTCAAGAAATACAACCCAACGCCAAGCAACACAAAGCCATGCCAAGCAACGCCAAGCAATGCCATGCAATTCCAAGCCATGCTAAGCAACGCCCAGCAACGCCCAGCAATGTCAAGCAATGCCACGCAATGCAAAGCAATGCCAAGTAATGTCAAGCATGGCAGAGCAATGCAAAGCAATGCAAAGCAATGCAAAGCAATGCAAAGCAATGGCAGGCAATGCCACACGATCCAAGCAATGCCAAGCAATGCCAAGCAACGCCAAGCAATGCCAAGCAACGCACAGCAGTGGAGCGCCCAGGGTTGCCAGTGCAATGCCAAGCAATGCCAAGCAAGACAAAGCAATGCCAAGTAATGCCCCGCACTTCCAAGCAATGCCAAGAAATGCAAAGCAATGCCAAGCAACGCAAAGCAATGCAAAGCAATGCAATGCAAAGCCCAAGCAACACCAAGCAATGCAAAGCAAAGAAAGCATCGCAAAGCAATGCAAAGCAATGCCAGGCAATGCAAAGAAATGCCAAGCAGTGCCAAGCAATGCCAAGCAACACCAAGCAATGCAAAACAATGAAAGCAACGTAAAGTAAAGCAAAGCAATGCAATGCCAAGAGATGTCTAGCAACACCAATTAACGCAAAGCTATGCAAAACAACGCAAAGCGGTGCCAAGAAATGCCATACAATGCCAAGCAATGCCAATCAACACATTGCTTTACATTGGTCGTAATGTGTTTGACTTGCTTGGTCGGAAAAACTGTAGTCGAGGTCGCGCCAGGTTCATGTAGAAGTAAGGAACCCACGGTGCACCTCAAAGTCCGTAGTACTGCACCAACACTTAGAAGGAAGCTGAGGCGGATAATATCACGAATCGAGCAGCAAATATAGAGATAAACATTGGAACTCATAACGGCACTCGTTTACGGAAAGGAGAACAGGAAGACCAAAACGATTCAAAATCTCAATGCAGATAACCTCTTCTGTCCCCCGGTTCCACTCAGCTTTGCGTCAGATGCGAATCGATTGCCACGTGCTTGCTTCTGGGGCGATCCCTGTCGTCCAACTGTGAAGCCCCCTTTCCCCATCCCACCTTGATGGCGTGCCTCCTCTCTCTGCCTGAGGTCCTCCCCAGATGTCCCTGGGAGCCGCTGGAGGTCACCGAAGGTTTCCCCAGAGGCCTCCCCGGAGGCTCGGAATGCCCCCAGAACCTCCCAGAGGCATCCGGCGACGACGGCGACGCTTCCGCTCCCCGCCACGCCCCCCCTCTCGCCGCCTCCGCCTACTGGCGTTAAGTCAGGCATGTCCCTCTACAGACGGAACATGCAAAAATCGTAATAAAAAAAAAGTCTGGGGACGATTTGAATAAAATCCGCCTGTTGGACATGCCCGACCAAATGCTGGCGCCTCGCCTCCCGCGAGGCGGCTCGCGCGCCGCCGGCGCGCTGGCCGGCCCGCTCCGCTCCTTCTCTCCCGCACCCCGGGGGGCCGCCACGGGGGCGGCTCCGGGGGGGCGCGCGAGGGGGCCCGTCTGAGGAGGCCCCCGCCCTTCCCTCTGAGGAGGCCACCGAGGCCCCTCTGAGGAGGCCTCTGAGGAGGCCCCTCTGAGGAGGCCTGTCCCACCAGAGGCCCAGAGCAGGGCCCAAGAGGCCAGGCCCCGAGGGGCCCCACTGGGAGGCCTCCGAGAGGCCCCCCAGGAGATCCCCACGGACATCCGAGGAGCCCCTGTCCTACAACACAGGCACGGTGGTCTCCCCCTGAGTCTCTGCCCCCTGTGGTCCCGAGCCTGTCCTTAGGTCGGACATGTGCTCCTACAGGCGGATTCTGGACGATTTGATTCGTATACATATACATATGTGTATATATATATACGTTTTTATATATACATATATATACACACCCAAAGAAATGGAAAATGCTCGAAAATAGTCAAAGCAATAATCGAAACATCAAAAAAAAAAAAAAAAAAAAAAAAAAAAAAAAAAAAAAAAAAAAAAAAAAAAAAAAAAAACGTTTTAAGATCATGTGCTTGACTGTTGTTTAACACTCCTCCTGTGTAGGGGCATGCCCGACTTAAGCCTGTCCCCCCGAGCCTGTCTCCCTGAGCCCCTCCCCCCCCCGTTGCTGCCCCTGGCCTCGGGCGGCGCGCACGAGGATGGGGGGGCGCCAGGGGGGGGCGGCCCTCTCAGACGAGAGCGCCCCACGACTCGCAGAGGAACAAGTCTTAGGTGGGGCGGACTTGGAACAAATTATGTTTGGAACAGTGCAAAACAGAGGCTCAAAATTAGCCTGGCGAAGGGCCCAACCATAGGCAGTTGTGAGCACCGCAAGCAAGCAAGCAAGCAAGCAAGAAGTCATGCACCCGGCGGTGCGTAGGACACAGGATTGGGGGAACAGATGCTGCTACATATACCGCAATTGTGAATATCTTCTTCGGTGGAGCTCCCTATGGGGCCACTCACCCTGTGAGGGGTGTGCCGACACGGGTGTGGGGGGGACGCATGCGGGCGGTGGCACTGGGGCCATCGGTTGAGCTCCCTATGGGGCCACGAAACGTGAGAGGACGTGTCGAAATTGGTGTGGGGGACGCATGCGGGCGATGGCACTGGGGCCTTCGGTGGAGCTCCCTATGGGGTGCCGAATTGGGTGTGGCTGACGCATGCGGGCGGTGGCACTGTGGCCTTCGGTGGAGCTCCCAATGGGGCCACGAAACCTGAGAGGGGTGTGCCGACGTGGGTGTGGCTGACGCATGCGGGCGGTGGCACTGGCGCCTTCGCTGGAGATCCGTATGGGGCCACGAAACATGTGTGGGGTGTGCCGAAGTGGGTGTGGCTGACGCATGCGGGCGGTGGCACTGGGGCCGTTGGTGGAACTCCCCATGGGACCACGAAATGTGTGAGGGGTGTACCGAAGTGGGTGTGGCTGACGCATGCGGGCGGTGGCACTGGGGCCGTTGGTGGAACTCCCCATGGGACCACGAAACGTGTGAGGGGTGTGCCGAAGTGGGTGTGGCTGACGCATGATCGCGGTGGCACTGGGGCCTTCGGTGGAGATCCGTATGGAGACACGAAAAAGTGTGAGGGGTGTGCCGAATTGGGTGTGGCTGACGCATGCGGGCGGTGGCACTGGGGCCTTCGGTGGAATTCCCTGTGGGATCACGAAACGTGTAAGGGGTGTGCCGAATTGGGTGTGGCTGACGCATGCGGCCGTTGGCACTGGGGCCTTCGGTGGAGATCCGTATGGGGCCACGAAACGTGTGAAGGGTGTGCCGAATTAGGTGTGGTTGGCGCATGCGGGCGGTAGCACTGGGGCCTTCGGTGGAGATCCGTATGGAACTACGAAACGTGCGAGGGGTGTGCCGAAGTGGGTGTGGCTGACGCATGCGTGCTGTGGCACTGGGGCCCTTGGTCGAGCTCCCTATGGGGCCACGAAACGTGTGAAGGGTGTGCCGAAGTGGGTGTGGCTGACGCAGGGCGGTGGCACTGGGGCCTTCGGTGGAGATCCGTATGGAGACACGAAACGTGGGAGGGGTGTGCCGAATTGGGTGTGGCTGACGCATGCGGGCGGTGGCACTGGGGCCGTCGGTGGAATTCCCTGTGGGGTCACGAAACGTGTGATGGGTGTGCCGAAGTGGGTGTGGCTGACGCATGCGGCCATTGGCACTGGGGCCTTCGGTGGAGATCCGTATGGGGCCACGAAACGTGTAAAGGGTATGCCGAATTAGGTGTGGCTGGCGCATGCGGGCGGTGGCACTGGGGCCTTCGGTGGAGATCCCTATGGAGCCACGAAGCGTGTGAGGGGAGTGCCGAAGCTGATGGCGATGATGGTGATGATGACGGTGATGATGATGATGATGATGATGATGATGATGATGATGATGATGATGATGATGATGATGATGATGATGATGAGGAGAAGGAGGAGGATGATGAGGATGATGATGACGATGATGATGTTGATAATGATGATGATGATGATGATGATGATGATGATGATGATGATGATGATGATGAGAATGATGACGACGACGACAACGACGACGACGATGCTGCTGCTGCTGTTGCTGCTGCTGCTGTTCATGATGATGATGATGAGTTTTATGATGATGATGTTGATGTTGATGCTGATGATGGTGATGATGATGATGGTGGTGGTGATGATGATGATGATCATGATGATGATGATGATGATGCTGATGCTGATGCTGATGCTGATGATGATGCTGATGCTGATGATGATGATGATGATGATGATGATGATGATGATGATGATGATGATGATGATGATGATGATGATGATGATGATGATGATGATGATGATGATGATGATGATGATGATGATGATGAGGGAGGTGGAGGAGTGAGTGACGCGGGGCGCTGTCTCTTCAAAACGAGGCCCCAACACCACAGGATGGTTGGGAAATACTAAGAAATGGTCGACAAATCGTCCCTTGACTATTTTTTGACTATTTTTGAAAACTCCTGCAGTAGAGGGACAGGCCCGATTTAAAACTAGTCGCAGATGGCCTGGCTCCGCCAAGGAGGACTGCCTCACGACCCACTACATCGAGGCGAACATGTTTTTGCTCAGGACGCTTGCGAGCAGGCACTCTGCGAGTGGTGGAACGCGCCCAGTGACCTCTGGGGAGGGGGGGGGCCCTCGGAGGAGGAGGAGGGGGAGGAGGAGGGGGAGGTGGAGGAGGAGGAGGAGGAGGAGGAGGAGGAGGAGGAGGAGGAGGAGGAGGAGGAAGCGGAGGAGGAGGCTGGCCTTCTGAGAAGCGCTCAGAGCCTTCCCCGAGGTCACGCAGGGCTTCCACGACGGCCGGAGAACGGAGAAGCCCCGCCGCCTTCGGAGGAGGCCTGCCCCCTCTTGCTCCTCCCCTCGGCGCGCCACCCCCACCTCCGGGGGGGGCGGGGGGGCCGGCCGCCCCCCTCCGCGCGCGGACCCCGTGCGCGCCGCCGGCTCTCGCCTCCTCGTCCCCTCCCTGCCCCGGCGGCTCCGCAGGGCGTGGTGCTCGGCGGGGAGCGAGGGGGGCGAGCGGGGAGGAGTGGGGCGCGCACAGGCATACCAGTACTGTATGTCCACCTTGTAGTAGGTCCACCTTGTAGCAGTATATCGTTCCCCGAGCGGTGTGGCCAGAAAGCGCCCACCACGGCGCATATACTGCAAGATTTCTCGGTGCGCGCGTCGCCCCTGGGGGGCGACGCACATGTAGTAGAAGTATGTCGGGGTGACGCCAGAGGAGGGGCCTTAGGGCGGCGAGAACAGAAGTCCTCGGGCCTTCGGAGAAGGTCTCCGCGTCTTCGGGGGGGCCTCGAGAGGCTTCTGGAGGCTGGAGGCCTCCGGGCCTTCTGAGAAGGCCCACCCCTTCTCGCTTCCCCCCAAGGGCGCCGTCGAGGGTTCACACAGGGTGTTGTGTGCAACCCGCACCCTGGGGGGCGGGCGAGGACCTCGACAGAGTTCTCCGCCGCGCCCCGAAGAGGCCCGGCGAGGGCACCGTGGCGCTCCCCAGGCCCCAACGACGCAGGTCACACACCGCACCCTGGCGTAACCACACCCTCTGGAGCCGCCGACCCTGCCCCTCGTCCTACATCACAATCTGCTGCTGCCCGCTTCTGGTGCGAGGGGACACCGCCGCTCGACGAGCCGCGCCAGCGCGTGCCCGCCAGGGAGAGCGTGCTGGCTGCTGGCGTCCCGTGCTGCCTCTGGCTGCCCCCGCGCACGGCCCCGCGCGGCGGGTGGTGGCAGGCGGGGACGCTGCCGCGAGGCGCACCGCTCGTAGAGGAGCTGCTGGAGCGCCCTCTCGAGCTTGTCCACCCGCTGCCCCTCCCTGCCCGCGGTCTCCTGCGGCGGGCGGGAGCCCTCGGACGGGAGGCATGCCCACGTCCAGGGCAGCGCGGTCCGGGCGTCTGTGGCGCGACCCCATGGATGCAGGGCGGCGGCGAGCGGAGGCCCCGCCCGGAGCGTATCCGCGTTATCCATCCGGTCGCGCCTCGGGATCCAGACCGCGAGGGCATGGACAGGACTATCAGGTCCCGCGCGCCCTGGTTCCAGCGCAGTGAGCATGTCTTGCTGGCCGCTTTCGATTTCTGGGGGTCCTTGGGCCCTGGGGCCGTCAAGAGACGATCGGGACGCAAACCGACCCCGGGGAAGGAGTCGGGACCTCCAGGGCACACGCTGGCGAAAAGAACAATCAAATCTGTTGTCAAAAAGGCGTCGGGGGTCTGGCCACCACGCCCATCCGACAGGTGCCCGCCGTGTCGGCGTGGCGTCGGCTTCCGATGCCGCATGGATCCTTCGAGCTCGACCGGCCTCCGCGATCCAACAGCGCAGATCGTTCAAGGTCGGTCTGTGGAGGCCTCTCGGATGGGGTCAGAGAAGATGGGTTCGGAGGATCGCGCCGCATCGGCGATGCATCGGCGATGCATCGGCGATGCATCGGCGATGCAACAGCGACGTCGATGCATCAGCGACGTCTGCGATGCATCGGCGCGGTCGGGGAGGAGGAAAAAATCGGGATCTCCGCGTCGCGCCCCAGCGGGCGACGCCTCGGCGGTGCCGGGCGCTCCCCCGGCCCCTACTCGGACCCCAGCCGGGATGCCTCGGGCCTGGCTCGGGCAGCCCGAAGGCGTGCAGCCACGAGCGCACGCGCCCGCGTCGCGGCCGCGCCGACGCTGCGCGAACCTGCCGTACCACCAGACTCGCATCGGGGTGGGGAGAAGAAAACTGCATAAACATAAACTTGTGGAGGTCCGCGCGGGTTTCGTGGATCTGCCTTTGAACCCCCTTCCTTGGCGCGCGCGAGCGCGCCAGGGGCGGCGCCGGAGGCGCCGCCAGGGGGCAGAGGTCGACCTAAACAGTGTGTTTCGTTTTCGTTTTGATTTCGTTTTCTCTCGTTTTGTGTTTGATCCACCTTTGCTGCAGAACGCGAAATCGAGACGAAAACGGCCCACGAAATCCCTGCCAGGAGCTTCCAGCGCGAGAAATCCGCGAGGAGGCCCGCAAGTGCACGTGTCTGCCGCTGTTTCGTCTTCGAGACCCAGGCCCCAGCTCGGGATTGGGGGTGCGCCCCCGCAGACCCTCGGGCGCTGCCGCGGAGGCCACGACCACCCCCGCACCCCAGGAACGCCCGCGCGCCCGAGCGCAGGATCGGTCAGCATCGAATCGGAAAATCGGATCGCATCGGAACGCGCGTCGAATCGGACCGCACTTGCACGGAGTCGAAAACGCCACGCAAGCGTCGGACCGCATTGGATCGGCCAGAAGATGGAATCGAATCGGACTGGGCTGGCCGGAACCGACATCGCGTCGGATCGATCGGACCGAAATGGACCCTGGAGTGTGGGCGTGTGATTCTCTGACCAGCCGTCCATCTGGCTGTCTCGTGAGCCCTCGAGGTCGAACAGCCGCGCGTCCACGACGTCCTTCTCCCGTGCGTGCCTCCCCTCGAGGTCGGCGAGGCTGCCCCTGGTGTTGCAGTGGTCCGCCCGGAGCGCCTCCGCCGCCTGCTCGGCCCTCCCCAGGCGAGCCTTGAGATCGCCGATCTCGGCCAGGAGCCTCGCCTCCAGGCCGGCCTGGGACTCCTTCGCCGCCGCCTGCGCCTTGGACAGCGCCGCCGCCAGCTCGTCGTCCCTCGCCGCGGACGCCTCCTGCTGCTGCGCCAGGTCGTTGCGGAGGCCCTGGATCTCCGTGCCCACGTCGGCCCTCCATCGCGGGAGGGTCCTCGCCTGGATCTCCTGCTGCATGCCGGAGATGTCCTGGATCCCGCGCTCGAGGCCGTCGAACTTCGGGTTGAGGGTCTCGTCCAGCTTCCGAACGGCCTTCTGCACCTCAGACTTTGTGGCGTCCAGGCGCTCCTCCATGAGGTTCCTGATGGACTCGTGCATGTCCTTGTCCGCCTTCTGCAGCTCACCGATCATCTTCTGCTGCTTCGCGTCGAGCTCGTCGTTCTGAGCGGCCATCTTCTGCAGCTGCTGGACGCAGCGACCCTGCTCCTGCTGGACCTGCTGGATATCCGCCTGCGCCGCGCAGAGCTTCTGGGCCGTGGCGTTGAATTTCTCAACGATGTTGCTGGCCCAGTTCCCATGATCCACCAAATCCTCCGACCTGGGGGAACAGAAAGATGCCGATACCGCTACTCCTTACTCCCTAGACCTTTCCCTGGGCGCGCTCTGATCAGGATCCCGAGGCGAGTCCAGCAGCGGCGACGAGCGAGTCCCCTCCCACGCAAAGAACCCCAAAAAGGCGCAAGAAGAGGGAAGGGCATCCACATCGGTATAGCGTCCTCCTCCTTCAAAGGAGGAATAAGCATAAACTGTCGGAGGTCCGCGCGGATTTCTTGGACTTGCGCTGGACCCTGCTCCCTGGCGCGCGGAGCGCACCAGGGACGGCGCCAGAGGCGCCGCCAAGGAGGCCCAGCGCCTCTCCAGGGAATGCGCGCGGAGATCCGAAAGTACTCTCGTGTACACTTTGGGTTTCTTCGATCCTTCTCCTCCTCCTCCTCCTCCTCCTCCTCCTCCTCCTCCTCCTCCTCCTCCTCCTCCTCCTCCATTCCTCCATTCCTCCATTCCTCCATTCCTCCTCCTCCTCCACCTCCTCCTCCTCCTCCGTCTCCTCATCCTCCTTCCTTCCTACTGGCATTCACACTAGTATTGTTATTGTGAGTAGTGTTATTCGAATAGTAATAGTACTATTATTATTCGTAGTCGTATTATTGTTCGCAGTGTTACCATTACTATGTTTAGTATTAGTATTAGTAGAGATATTATTTCATGTTCGGTGGTTGTTAATATAGTATTGTTGCTGTTATTCGTATGTTTAGTATTCTTATCATTAGCAATATCATGATTAGTACCGTTATTAATAGTACTCATAATAATGGTGCTTATCTTCGTCTTCGTCTTCGTCTTCGTCTTCGCCTTCGTCTTCTTCCTCCTCCTCCTCCTCCTGATCCTCCTCATCCTCCTCCTCCTCCCCCTCCTCCTCCCCTTTCACATTATCCTACCCATCACCCTCCTCCAGCACCAGCACCACCAACTCTTGTTATGCCTGTGCTGGCTGCGAGTGCCGGTCCCCCGACCACCCCGCGATGGCTCTGGCGACGGTGGACGCAACGGAGCGGAGCGAGGTGAGACAACGGCAGCTAATGATGAAAGAACAGCACTCGCTCGAATCCATTGGGAGGAGGGACGGGGCAGGGCGAGGAGGTGAAGCCGCTACAGATGTGGGCGCGGGTTGTCGGACCGCGACGGGGTCTCCCATGCTAGCGGGGACCCCCATCCGACAAAAGATACCCATAGCCCCCCCCCGGAATTCCAACCCGAGAAATCTGATAGGTCGCATAAATATGGGTGAAATCGATCAGGTCATGATCTCGAAATCCATCCCCAGAGCGCTCCCGGGGTTCAGACGCAGCAGTTTTCCGAGCTGCGTCCAGCCGTGGCGACGAGGGGGTCCCTCGAAGGCCAGCTACTGTCGACTCAGCCGGCCGTCCTCTCTAGAGGCCTCACAGATGGGGTCGGAATAGAGGGAGGGGGTCGGAGGATCGCGCCGCGTCGTCGATGCACCACCGATGCATCGACAATGCATCGGCGACGCCGGCGAAGCATCGGCGACGTCGGCGTGCACAGAATCGAGCTCGACATCGAGCCGCATCGCCGATGCATCGGCGACGCGGCGCGATGCTCGGGCCCCACCTACGGCGTGTCGTGCCGACTTCGGCGTTGGTTTCTGCCGCCGCGGGGATCGTTCAACATTGAACGACCGGCCGTTTTCGAGACGTTTTCGATCGGATCGTTCAACATTTCGAGACGTTTTCGAGACGTTTTCAACATTTTCGAGACGTCGGATCGTTCAACATCGACCGATTCTGGGCCACAGGCAGCGTGCAACGTTGGACGCCAGCGGCGGGGTCGCAGCCGGTCGACACGACACGAAGCTAACGTACTCGTGTCGTGTCGACCGGTAGGAGGACGAGGAGGACGAGGAGGACGAGGAGGAGGAGGAGGAGGACGAGGAGGAGGTCCGCGCGGGTTTCTAAGCCCACGCTGGAACACCCTCCATGGCTGAGCGCGCCAGGGGCACCGCCGGAGGCGCCGCCAGGGGGCCAGAGCGCCGATCCGAGGAATCTGCGCGGACCTCCGAGTTGTGTATGTTGATGTTATTGCGTGTTCCAGTAAAAAATCTAGCTAGATCCTCTGCGCGTCGTCTCCGCTCGGGGACCCACTGACCCAGGTCAATGCAAGCGCGAGTCCGTCAAGGTTTGCAGGATCCTGCAACATCCTGCAGGATCCTGCACGCAAATCCGGGTCCATGCACCCTTGGCTCTGCAGCATCCTACAAGATCCGGCGCTCTGGCCGACCCCCGCTTGCGCTGACCCGCGTCTCATTAGCATGGGGGAAGCGGGTCCTGAGGGGAACGGGTCCTGGACCTCCCCCAGGACGAGATCGTCATCCCGAGTCCATGCCTGACGGTCCCGGTGGGCCCGCGCAGGGCCCCGGGAGCCCGACAACGGAGAAAAACCTCGGGGGCCGTTTCCCTCAGGACCCGATCTCGAGGCTCCCGATCCACCGCTGGCGGCCTGGCGCCGGCGGGCGCGGGCGCGGCGGGCACCAGCGCGAGCGCGGCAGGAGAGGGCGGAGCGTCGGGCGCGGGCACGAGCGTGACGGAGGGCCCGTCCATGGCGAGCCCGCGGCGTGCGCCCCGCGGGCGCTGCGCGCCTGCTACGAGGGGGGGCGCAGGGGAGCCCAACCCGAGCGTGGCCAGAGCCGAAATCCTGCTGCTGCTGCTGCTGCCTCCCCTCCTCCTCCTCCTCCTCTCCTCCTCCTCCTCCTCCTCCTCCTCCTCCTCCTCCTCTCTCCTCCTCCTCCTCCTCCTCGCTCCTCCTCCTCCTCCTCCTCCTCCTCCTCCTCCATCCTCCTCCACTCCTCCACTCCTCCACTCCTCCACGCCTCCGCTCCTCCACTCCTCCTCCTCTCCACTCCTCCTCCTCCTTCCCTCCTCCTCCTCCTCCTCCTCCTCCTCCTCCTCCTCCGCCTCCGCCTCATCCGCCTCCTCCCTCCCCTCACTCCTCCTCCCCCTCCTCATCCTCCCTCCTCCTCCTCCTCCTCCTCCTCCTCCTCACTCTCCTCCTCCTCCTCCTCCTCCTCCTCCTCCTCCTCCATTCCTCCTCATTCCTCCTCCTTCCTCCCTCATTTCCTCCTCCTATCCTCCTCCATTCTCCTCCATTCCTCCTCCACTCCTC